AAAATGTAGAAGATAACTATTTTATGTTTGTTTGCTGGAAGGATGTTGAATGTCAGTCTGAACTCTAAGTTTTGATCGGCTAACTTGGGTGGAACTGTTATTAGAGACTTGATGCAAACGGAGTCCTCTGGGAAGGGGGTTTCAAGGGATGGCCCAGATGAGATTGGTCTGCAGCCAGATCTGTGAATCCCACATCGTCTCAGAATGAGGGAAAATTGTTTTGACTGTTGATTGATTTGGGAGTGCCCAGCCCACTGTAGGAAGTGACACTCTTGGGAAGTCTGTCCTGGGTTGTGGAAGAAAGCTATCTGAACACAAACCAGAGAGAATAATTCAGTAAGCAGCCTTCCTCCATGGTTTCAGCTTCAGTTCCTGTGTGGGTTCCTGCCCTGACTTCTGTCTCTGATGAATCCTGGAACTGTAGGATGAAATGAGCACTTTCCTCCCCTAGGTTACTGTTGGTTGATACTTATCCCAGCAGGCACACAAACTGAAGTGAGTGGCAAGCTTAATCACCAGTTCTCCACAGTAGTTACTCAGCATCTCATGAGATCAGTTCTGATTTCTAACTTGTCCTGTGAGTATTTGCCCTGTGAGATCTCGACGCTGGACATTTCTTTCTGAAGCCTGGAGGCCCTCAGCGAGGTGTGCCCAATCATAGAAAAGAAGTGCAGCCTGGGATCGCCGTGAATAGCAAGTCCCAGTTAGCACGTGAAGGCTCTTCAGTAGCGGGTGGTAGTGGGTAAAGACAACCACTGCGCCGGTTAGAGGTGTGATTGTTTAACTGACAGGATGTTACCTTTAGAATCTGGATCTCCAGTTTGATTTTGATTATATACAGGTATGAGGACACCTGTGCTTGTTCTGAAAGCCATGCTTTGCCACTGTGTACATGCTTGAGTGTTCTCTGCATGGAGAAGAATGACCAGAAAAGAGGAATTTTCACCAACAGCAGTGCTAGTGGTGATTATTCCCGCACCCTTGAAACAAATCAGCTACAACACACACTACAGATATGCACAGCAGCTGTCTCCATGTCCACAGAGTTGTGTTCAGAGGTCCCCAGTGGACACTTATACCAGCCACAGGTCTGAAGGCAGTGAAAACAGCCAGCCATGGATTAAAACCATGAGGCCAAAGAAAGCTTTCTCCCTTAAGTTGATTTTTCTTGAGCCATTTGTCAAATTGATGAGAAGCTGACTAATGCAATGGCTCACTCCACTTAACATAATGTCCTCTGTTTCATCAAAATTACTGCAGATGCCAACCCCATTCCTGTTAGTGCCACCAAGCATTCTGTTGTAATTATGCACATTTTCTTTATGCATTGCTCCAGCTTCTGGATTCCCCGCCACGTGCCCCTTTCAACTTCACGCCCTCTTTTTTTTTTTTTTTAAATAACTCACTGAGTCCAACTAGTGCTGGGTTCTGTGTACTCGATTGTGGACAGCCACTGAAGCACGATCCACCTGCTGTGGACCACACCCCTAAAGAAAACTGACTCTCCTTATTTTAGATGCCATTAACTGTCGGTATCTCTTGGCTAGGGGTAGAGGCTTCCTGTCCTCCCCCACCCATGTCAGGATGCTGAGTGCCTTGATTTTGTGCAGCTGTTGTTTAGACAACCGCTGCTGTTGTGTGTGCCCACACTCCCAGGAGCACTCATGCCACAGTGTGCATTCAGAGGTCAAAGGACAACTTTATGAAGTTGGTTTTCTCCATCCACTCTTATGTGAATTCCAGAAATCAAACTTTGGTCACCAGATTTGTCTTGTACAGCAGGAACCTCTACCCACTAAGCCATCTTGCTGGTTTTAAGGATTTCATTTGATCATGGTGAGTGTGTGTGTGTGTGTGTGTGTGTGTGTGTGTGTAAATATGTACATGCAAACATACATGAATACAACCATTGAAACAGTGGCTTTCTCTAAACCTGGAGTTCACTGTTTCAGCTAACATGGCTGCCAGCGAGCCCCTGTGATCTGCCTGTCTCCATTCCCACACCTGTAGCCCCAATGCTGGAGTTAGAGATCAGTGCCTACGTGCACAACATTGGCTGAGGACCCACCTCAGACCCTCATTCTTGCATAACAAGCACTTTCCCATTGAGCCATCTCCCCAGCCTATTATACTTTATTTTATTGTGACCTCTTTATATTTGCTAAATTTCTTGTTCAGATTAAAGTTCTTTTCCTTATTTTATTAAACTTTTCAAATTTCTTATATTTCTTTAAGCTTGCCCTAAAGTCATCATTTAGAATTTTTTTCCAAACAACTTGTCTATTCCCTCTTCTTTAGGGTCCATTGCTAGAAAGTTACTATGTTTCTTTGAAAACATGATTTAACCTTTCTTTTTCATACTATACATATGTTCTTTGTGCATCCAATCTGTTGACCCTGTCAACTTATATGAGGGCTTTTATATCTAAAGGCTTTCTCTTGGCAGCATGTCCTATGGTACCAGTTTTGTGTGGTGCACTGACTTGTGTCACAGGTGGGCATGGTAGTACACTCATTGGATAGATGTTTCAGCTATAATAAGTGTTGGCAATGCCTATAAGGATCTAATTGGCCTCAGCTTCAGGAGTCTGTACTATTGCCTGTCCAGCTAAGGTGCAGCTTTTTGGGGTGGAGCAGGTCGCCAGTGGTCTCGTAATGATACACATCAGTGGAGCTGGGGTCGCCATCACTTTGTGAAGGATGCACAGAAGAAGGGGATGTATAGGCAGGTTCAGGTAGGCATGATATAGTAGGTTCAAGAGCAAAGATGGGGCACCTCTAAGATTAATGTATGCATGTGGAATGGAGGATCAGGCCGTTCTGGTGGTCCTCTGCAGATAGTGTTCCTGGCAGGAGGAAGAAGGTGTTTACCACTGTTTTTACACCCCATAGTCCAGACCACACTGTGGCCTAAAGGGGGTGGGTGTCTGCTATTTCTCAAGGGCTACACAGTTTGCAAAGATTAGTGGAGTTGTACTTGCTGCCAGTACCTGAGTGTACCGCAGTGTCAAAGGTGCTGACGTCCCAGGATGGTTCTGTGTAGAAGAGCTTGAGAAGACACATAGTGTAAACTTTTCCTCCAGGCTGTTGAAGGAGCTTGTGTTCCCCTGCTGCTCCCTAAACTGTGCTAGGACTTGAGGGATAGATGCAAGTTTCTCAAGTAGCAAATGTTTCAGGAGTCCACGGTATTCGTAGGAAATTATATTGACCTCCTGTGAACCCAGTTTTGCCGTGTGAAGTCCCTCTTGGTTCGGGATTTATATTAAACTAGGAAACAGGGTGACTGATATGTACTGATATGTACTCTGTCCCTTTCTCTCTGAGGCCACATCTTTGCCACATCTCTACTGAACTTCAACAACCTTTCTCACATTCTTGTAGAACAGCAGACTTTTTTTCTTTTTTTTTGGTCCAAGGACGCATTTTTGAAATTTCAAATTTGAAGTAAGAAATTTGCTCCTAACTTGCTGATGTCATCCTTCCTTTTAAGTACTGATTTTTTAGTGTGAAACCAACCTTATATTTTGAAATACATTCAAATACAAATTCAGTTTGAGCATGTTAACTTATTGCCTTTTTATCTTTTTTCATTACTATGTTTGGTTTGGTAATGTTTTGTTTAGTATATTTATAACTCTTTTATAAAAGGTTCAAATGGTATTTATTGATCTATGACTTGATGTTGCTTGGTTGGTTGCTTTTGGCTTTTCATACCCTTGTCAAGTTTTAATGTAATGCTATATGGGCCTCATAAAACAAATTGACTCTCTTTCTCTCGCGCTCGCTCCCTCCCCTTCCCCTCTCCTTCCCCCTATTTTCTCCCTCCCACTTTCCACTTCTTTTTTTTTTTCTACTCTACAATACACTTTATACATGATTGTTATTTCCTTTTTTAATTAAATGTTTGGGAAAATTCACTGTTCAATCCATCTGGGTCTAGATATTTCCTAATGAGAATGTTTTTAATTATATTTGTTGATTCTGTGAACATTTTAAATTCATTTTGGACAGTTAATATATAGTTTAACTCTTGTAAATTTTCAAATATTAAAAACCATGCTAACTTTGCCTTTACTAACAGAAGTATGCTAGCCAGCTTGTAGAGAGAAGGCTCCTTTGGGCGACAGTCGGTGGCTTCTGCTGCCCTGGTTGCTGTGGGGCAGCAGCTGATCATGCTTTACTTTCATCGTAGAAGTGTGGTAAACAGCTCTCCTCGTGGCCAAAGTTTGGGAGAGAGTTGTTGAGATCCCACCGCCCTTTTCAAGAGTGGCCCAGAGATCTCTCACATGCCCCACTTAAAGCTTCTACCCCCTCTGATGCCTGCTAGCAATTAAGCCCCACGACTTGAGATTTCAGAGGCTATGAAGATTCAAATTTTGCCACAAATAAGAGTAAAGTCATGCTTGCCCATTGTCCTCTTAACATTTGGGATTACATTTTAATGCATTTCATTGGGATATTTATGTGATGATAATCCACATAGATTTGCCCTAGATGATGGATTTACCTGTGTGACTCAGGGCTTCTACTTAAAAGTAGCTAAGCCTTCATATCTGCATCTTAGGAGAATCTGTAGACAAAATATATATACTGAGATTTTAGCAGTTCTTGGCATAATGCTTACATCTATCAAATGCAATGCTTAACACTATAGTTGTCTTCACTAGATTTAGAGAGACCATAAGAGCCATATGACTGTAGAGATCCTAATCTACACTAAAGCAAGGATGCAGCAGAAAGACTTCTGACTAGCCAAAATGCATACATGTGTGTGCACCCATGTATTATGTGTGTATACATATATATATATATGTGTGTGTGTGTGTTTGTATGTATACATGAATTGTATATGTATGTGTCTATGCATGTGTCTACATATATTATGTATTTATGCGTGTGTATACATGTATTATATATTTTTGTATATGCATGTGTATACATACGTGTACATGTCTACTGACGCTCATTTATTTGTAGGAAAGTACTGTAATCTGTCTTTGTAAGTTGTTTATTTTGTTTTAAAGATAGTGCTAGCAGGGTTATCTAGTTTGTTCATCTGAAGCAGACTAGAAGCAATAAAATTCCCCAGTGTCCATACTTTAGCCAAACAACAGAAAAATGATTTCATTCAGTGTACATGTTTGAATAGGGAGTTCTCATAACCTCTGTTTTTCTTACTGAAATTGGGGGACAGGATAAAAAAATGAAAGTGACTGCTTGATATAAAGGGAAATCTGTCTGTGACAGAGAAGCACATTTCGTTTCCTTTTCAATTAATGATAAACTGTAAAAATCAAACAACTTCAGTTTGTTTCCCAGCCTGTGAGCTGGAGTGCAGGGTTCTTCCTTTATACACTGCAGTAACCATGAAACCTTCTAGAGGAATTCTGAACTGAAACCAAGCCTTAATGGGGAAAATGAGATAACTATCTATGATAGAACCTATAAGAGCTAATGTACACTTTTGATATTTATTAAAATGCAACCACTAAGCCTCATTGAATTGAGATTTCACTGGTAATTGTCAGTAGTGGATCTGAGATACAGCCAGTGAGAACAGAAGAGAAAGGGGACACAGGGAATTACAGAGGTGACATGGTTGCCCTCTTCCTGCTTAGAGGGAGAAGCAAAAGCTTCCAGTAGATCCCATGAACTAGCAGGTTCTTCTGTGTGGTGCCATGGATTTTCCATTAGCCTAGAACACATCCCAGCACACACAAGACTCCTGCTTTGGCTTTTGGGTAGCAGACTTTAACTCTGTGTCTGTCCATGAGCACAGAAGTTCATGCCTGAGTTAAGATGGGAGAGGCTGACATTTTACAAGTTATATGTTAATGATACTTAATGCACAGATGTACAACAACCATAACTCATGGTATTATTTTTGCATCCCTTGCCCCATAGTTTCAGAGAGAAGCTTTTAGTCATTCTGTTGGCACCATCACCCATCCATCCCCCAAAAAGAAAAAGACACAAAACTAAACCTCCGTATACAAAGGAAGCCAGTCAGGTGATGTTCTGCTGAACTGCAACTCAGAGAACCATGTAGCCTTCAGTCACCTAACAGCCGCAGCAAGATCGCATCCATTTTGATTGTATGCTGTACTGTGAATCACCAGCTAGAGCTACTTCTTCACGATTCCCCACTTCCTGAAAGGGAGAGATTCGTAATATAATTTAATGCCAAAGAATTTAGAGTGGGGAGAAGGAATATGCTTATAATACCTTTGTTATTTACCCTCACGAGTGATAGAATTATATGAGATTTTATCTGAGGTGATTTTGAAAAATCAGAAACCTAAGGGACTGGGACTATAGATGAATGGTTGAGTCCCCAGCATGCCCAAGGCCCAGGGCTCAGTCATAAACACTGCAAATAGAAGTGAGTCCAAGGAAGTTATTTGCTGGGTCATTACTGCTCTCCACTCCACTGAGAGAGAAAGTTTGTAAAATTAGGTGAAACACTGATCTTCAGCAGACAGGATAAATGTCTAAAGAACACTAAAAGATGCCTGTAGGAGGAGGGCCTGCTTGTTCCTCCCGGCCACCCAGTTAACTTAGCCCTGAAATAACCACACAGAAACCATATTCATTAAATCACTGCTTGGCCCATTAGCTCTAGCATCTTATTGGCTAACTCTTACATCTTAATTTAACCTATTTCTAGTAATCTGTACATCACCATGTGGTAGTATACTGGGTAAAATTTTTAGTGTCTGTCTCCTGCAGCTCCATGGCAGCTTCCTGACTCTTCCTCCCAGAATTTAGTTGTCTTCCCAGCTTACCTGTGTTCTGCCCTATCAATAGGCCAAGGCAGTTTTTTTATTCATTAATGAAAGCAACACGCAGAAGGACCTCCTACACCAGATGCCTCAGAGCACAGAGGATACTGGACAGTAGACTCCAGTAGCAAACAGTGCTCACTGGATACATAACAGTAAGAGGCCGTGGTTCAACTTTGTAAACTCCTCAGCAGTCTGTTTTATCACAAAGATGTATATGACGTATAAAAGTCCACAGGTTTGGAAACACATTTTCTAGACATAACACTGACATCTAGTTTGTCTCAGTATAAAATGTATATGTAGTTGTGTCCTCTGCAATGAACAACCTCCAAACCACAGTGCCTTACAATAACTGCAGCATATTATCCTGACTCGAGAAAACTTTTGCTGCAGATTAATTCTTGTGGAGCCCAATGCTTCTCAGTCCTAAGCTCAGGCTAAAAAAGAGTGGAAGGAGTGAGAGTGTGAGCAAAGAGTTCAAGATCATAGGGGCCTCATCCACTGAGACAGTTTACTTGAGCTAATTGGAGCTCACCAACTCCAACTGGACTGGGAGTGAACGAGTATGGGAACTACCAAGCCCTTCTGAAGGGGGTTGACAAGCTGGGGCAGACTGAGGGGTCACTGATAGTGACACTGGGATATGTCTCTACTGCAGATACCAGCTTCATGGGATCCTATTCTCTTTGGATGTAAATCTTGCTCAACCTAGATGTAGTAAGGAGGGTCTTGGACTTTCCACAGGACAGAGTGCATGGCGCTCCCTTGGGGTTGGAGAGGTGGGAGGAGGGTATGTGGAGGGAGAGGGAGGGGACTGGAAGGAGGGGAGGGAGTGGGAATTTGGATTGGTATTTTTTTAAGTAATAATGAAAAAGAAAGAAAGGAAAAGAAAAAGCACCGGAGTAAGACAGCCTCCCTATCTCAACTGAAAGATAGGACAAAGGCACTCTTAGATGGATACCTCTTCCAACTTCTATACAGTCCACCATTCCACTGAAAATGAATCACATAGCCAAGACCACCAGTGGAGCAGGGACATCCATTCCTCCAGTTAGCAGCCAGCAAGTTTCACTAAGCTGTATAGGGAAGGGAGAAATGGATCAGAAAGGATGACAGTATCTACTTATCTCTCCAAACCTTTGTGTCTCAAATATGTAAAGTTACATTAAAGTGGCTGCAACTTAATGCATCCTCCACCAATGTTTGAATTGCCAGCACTGTTGAATAGTTCCTTTTAGTGTTACTTATTTCTAGGATCCAGGTAGGCTTCAAGTCCTTACGTACCATTAAAACCCATCACTTCTCCATTCTTACACAAACCTTTGTAAAGCTTTCAACCATCTCAGTTGCCCGCCCTCAAATGTATGCCTTTCCCCTTTTATATTCATGTTTTTAAAATGTCACAGTTATAGTCACACTTACTTCCTATTTAACTATGTTAAAACCTTAAAACCTTTTCAGGAACTTATTAGACAACTATGAGATTATTTTTCTCTATTTTTCCTGTGATTATTAATGTGGTAAAATTTGCTAAAAGGCTTAGAAAAATTAAAGAATAAAAATAAAATGTACTTTATAATTATAAAATATGTAAATTATAATATTTAAATTATGTTATAAAAATAATTATAAAAATTATTCTGTATTCAAACCTATGTGTTAATGTAAAAACATACAAGCACATTCATAATATACATACTTAAACATAGATAATTCTAACTTTTAATAATTTAAATGTCTAGTGTTTGGGGACTGCATTTTCTATTAACTGTATGATATTAAGCATACATTTTTGCTGATCATTAAAGAGACAAGAACTAAGCATTTAACATATTTTAATATATATGTAATGCAAAATACAGAGTTTCAAATCTCAAAAATAAAACCAGCCTTTTTTCTGGTTTGAGTTTGGAGCACCCTGAAGTTACCTGTGTGTTTCTCTGTATCTCTTCCTTTCCCATCCAAGGTAACTACCATCCCCAAGTCTGTGGACTGTTCTTAGCTTCTTTCTCTGTTTTCTGGGTATTTTTACCTGTCTGTATCTTTGAACAGTGTATTGCTGAGTTCTGCTTAGCTTTGAAGTTTTTAAGAATCATTTTATACCATGTGCGTTGTTTAAACTGGTAGAATGAATTATACAAAATTAGCAATTTTGTATTTTCTGGTGTTTTAACAGAAAACATGTGCGTGAATCTATGTGTGTTTCCAATTTGTGGTGGGAATACTTTTTGGAGTTAAAGTTACTGGATTAAAAGATAAGAATATTTTAAAGGTTTGTTTGTTTTCGTTAAAAGCAGTGTTCATCAGGAAATGTATCCTCGGATATTTTAATAAGACATTTATTTGGATTTTTCTGGCAGATAATTCTAAATCATGACTAGTGTTGTGCTTTAATTGCCTATAAAAATTAGAGAAATTTAATAAGTCCAAACCCAATTCCTTGCTATTTTTGGCTACCCTACTCTGTCCTGTTCTTGCTACGTGTTACATTGGTCACTGTTCCATTTATTTGTCAATCTAGAACCCAACGAGATTGTCTTTTTCCTCCCCACCTCCACTCCAGCCACCCTGTACTCACACTTCCCCAGGTAAGGATGTCCTGCCTGTCGTGACTCCACTGATCCTTTGGATGTATCCTGCTCTTCCTTTCAGACCTGTGTGAGCTGGACCACTGCACAGTCCCCTGACTGGTCTCCTTCCAGTCTTCAGAATCTTGTTTTTCTAGTGGGTCCTTATTCAAAGCCCAGGCTTGACTTGAAAATTCAACCCAGCGACATTTAATAACAGGCCACTGTCCACATGGTAAAAACCACACTTCTCACTTGTTAGGAACAAAGCCTGGAGCAATTTACTCAACCTCTTCAGTTTGATTTCTTCATGATTAATCTTTTCTACCTCCGACTCCAGAGTTTTGTGTTTTAGATTTGAGCCAGCCTACACTGATATGTTCCTTTTGTTTTTCTTGTTTGTGTTACTCTTTCATCCTAGCCTTCCCCTCCTCTTGTATATCCCATTGAGATGTTACTTAGGCTCCATAAGAACTCTAGCTCCAGAGTTTTCTATCAATGTAAGTTATCATAAGTAACATGGAGAGTCAAGTGTTGTTGCCACTCTCAAACCATTTTGAATGGCAATGCTTGCAGAACTATATTTGTGCATATAATTCTGAACAGAAAAATGAGACCACAAACTATCTTAAATATTTCCATTATAATAAATCAGGACCGTGTGCGATAGATAAAAGTGTGTGTGTGTGTGTGTGTGTGTGTGTGTGTGTGTGTTTCTGTATACATTTATTTGTATACAAAGACAGAAATAGAGTGATAGTTGGAGAGGAAGGCGTGTAAATATTTAATCTTGGTATTCATTAAGACTTCTAAAAGCTTTTTTGGAGCCAAGGTATATGAATAATTTGGGACTGTGTTAGATCATAGTTTCTCTTTTAAATTGTTATTTGTTCTCTTTAATTTCATATAATGTGTTTTAATTATATTTACTCCCTCCCAAACTCCTCCCAGACCCACCCCCCTTCCAGTCTAATTTGCGTTGCCATTGTTGTGATGAATAATGCTGCTCATCAGGCACATTCTTCTCCATGAGGTGTCATCTGAACTGACTGAGCTCCCCGCTCCTGCTCCTGCACCCACTTCTCCAGTGCTGGCTGCTGAGTGGGAAGGGCCTTGTCCTTTATCAGATAGCACAGTCAGACTTGGGTGGGAAAGAGGTCTTTGAGCCATAAAATGAAAATGTTGAGCTACCTAATTGTTAAGTGGGTATGGAGATATCCTAGAAGGACCTTTCCAGCCTTTGTATTTTAAGATGTTTTGTTAATGAGGCAAAAAGATCCAGGAAAGGGCAGTGCTTGTTTGTGCTCTGTTTTGCAGTCCTCACTAGGGTCAGGTGACAGTTTTTGTCCCCTTCCCCTGAACTGGCAGTAGGTGTCAAGCAGGAAGTTACACTGCTATGCGTGTGTCCTCCCCCCCCCCACCAGCTTCTGTGGCCAGGCCTCTACTTGTTATTCTGTGAGGTGATGAGTGCGAGATTAGATGCTTTTTGAGGTTCTCCGCAGCTTAAATATAAGTTGATATTTGCTATGCTTGAAGTGCCCAAAACATTTGTACACCCTGTTGCTATGGGCGTGTTTCAAAGTGGAAAAGTCAGCGCGGCGAACTTTTCACATGTTTTTCTTCAGGAAATTCTGTGGCTAGCACAAGTAAGCCTGTCAGTTTATGCAAACAGATTTATGGGATTGAGAATACCTAGTCCCATCATTTACTTCAGTTTACCTCTCATGATTGGTATGTCTGAAGTCATTTAAAGTGGTTCCTTATAATGATATAAACTGAAGTATTTTAGGGGATTACACCGTTGACATCAATTTAAAATAAGGCCTGTAGCATTAGGCTCCAGTAATCAGTATAGACTTCCTTTATTAAGGAGGATATTCAGAAGTCTTCCTGAAGAAAAAGCTTATTTTCATTTTCAGAAGACAAACTAATCTTTGATACACGATATTTGAGGAAAGAGTTGAGAGTTGCTTCTGGCAAACATAATCGTTACTGCTTAAGCAAGTATTTCTCTGCTAATAATTAGATTTTCTTTCATTTTGATAGGTAGTCATAAATATTAACCACCAGCAGTGTACGAATAATTTATATTCAAATTATCAGATATCACTATGTGAACACATAAAATAATTTACATTTACTTAGGACATTTTCTCTGAAAGTGCCCCCACATGCTTCTTTACACTCTTGGTTGTGAACTGTATATAGGATTCTGCCACCTGAAATAGGACAGCTACCAAATAATAAGGATAAAGAACACAGCTTCACAACAGACTGGGGAAAGGAGAAAATGTGGTCTCTTTTACTTTGTTTCTGTGTGTGCTTGTACTAATAGGATTGGAGGATCCATGTTGACCAAATGCACCAGCACAAAAGTGGAATTGAATCAGCTCTAAAGGAAACCAAGGTATGTGAATCACTTCAGACAAATCAACATGATTTACTCATCTAGATCTATTGTGATAGAGTTTGAAAGGAGAGCAGATACAATCCTCATCTCTCAGGAGGTGATTAATTATATATACCGCATTACATCTTCACAGCCCTAGTGCTTACACCAAATAAATCAAGCTACTTATGTAAAAACTATTTATGGTCAGTCATGGTAGTACACTCCTGTAATCCATTTGTTTTATATATAATATATATATATATTATATATATAGCACATGCTGCACATATATATCTAATAGATGTTTTAGACACATACCTGTCTTTCTCCTGATTCCCAATATTGCATGCACCCTAGACCGACAATGGCTAGGACTTGTAGCTCTCCCAGGCTTGTTGCCATGGCAGAAGTGGGATCTTTAGAGAATGCCACAAAGACACAAGCTCAAGTGCAGAGCTGTGGATCCCAGGCTAGACTGGTTCAGATCTGGGACTCTACTTCTAGCTGTAATATTCCCATCCGCTTTGATAAAGCCATATTATACCTTGGCTACTTTGGTTTTGACGTTTATATGCAACTTTTTATAATGACATAAGTGTCAGGAGTTCTGGTGTCCATGAGGACAAGAGGTGACTGAGCTGCCAGGCTCGTCTTTTCTGGAGACAGGGTCCCGGGGCAGCTCCCTTGCTTCAGCGTCCAGGGTGCTTGGATTACAGAACTGAACCATCATATCTGGCTTCTTAAAAGAATAACACTGGTGTGACTGAAGTGTTTGTAATCATAAACATTGTTTGCTGCTGAAGCTTCCAACTGTAGTCTTCTGCACACATGATTGATCATTTGTGGAGTGGGTTGAAGAATATTTAAATTGTTTTCACCAGTTTTGTAAAACGTATTTGTTCCTTCATCTACTAAAATCCCATGGAATTTCTAGGGATTTTTGGATAAGCTCCATAATGAAATTAGTCGGACTCTCGAAAAGATTGGTAGCCGAGAAAAGTACATCAACAATCAACTTGAGCACTTGGTTCAAGAATATCGTGGGGCCCAGGCCCAGCTGAGTGAGGTAACTTAAAAATGCTTTTCAAGGATTTATTCAAAATCATGACCCTAATCCCTAAAACAATGTATTTTGTTTATAAATTGTGAAACGGGAAAGAGGGAGAGCTTGAGGTGGATATGATCTAAATACATTGTAAACAAGTGTGAAGGGATCAAAGAATATATAAGGCTTAAAATTTTTCATCAACAGAAGCATATGCATTCTGCCCACTTGAAGCTAAGGGGGTGAGGGAGGGTGGGAGAACTCTCTGTTTCATATGTGATAGAAATGATTATTCCCCGAGGAGTCTCTAACACACTTCTTCATTTTATTTAGATGAATATAGGTTTGCTGCTGGTGATCATGACTTAGAACTAAGAGAAAGAGAGTCAGGATGCTGTGTTTCATTTCAAACTCTGTTGCTAATTCACTGTGAAAGCAAGAGAAAGAATAGTATGCATTGCATGTGTCAGAGGGAAGGAACAGCCCTTGCACAATGGCATTCAGCTACATACTAAGGAACATGAAAACAAGATGAATTCGGAGACAATTTTATTTATTTGTTTGTTTTTTTTGGTTTTTCAAAACAGGGTTTTTCTGTATAACTTTGGAGACTGTCCTGGAACTTACTCTGTAGCTGAGATTGGCCTTGAACTCCCAGAGATCCGCCTGTCTCTGCCCCCCAAGTGCTGGGATTAAAGCTATGCACCACCACCGCCCAGCAAGAGACAAACAATTTAATTAATCAAATGAAACCCATTTTTCATTCTTTCAACATTTTAGAATTTTATTCCAAAAATAAAATCCCGAACCCCTAGTTTCTGCAAACAGCTGTGGAAATCCCATAGCTTTCTTTGGGAATGTATAAGGAAAACCCCGTATGTCCTGATGCTAAACTAGTCTAGTAAGGATACATGCAAATAGGTGTTCAGCAGGGTGGGGACTGGAAGAAGACAATGAAGGTAAAAAATGATCAGATTGCATTGTATGTACACTTATGAAATTGTCAGTGAATGATCATATTAAAGAATTACTGTAGAAAAATAATGAAAACAAGTTTGAGATAACTCATGTCTTCAGAAGTTCCCAAAGACCAAGTCAAAAATAATTTACACTTTTTATTATATTCCCTTTGAATCTATTATTCTCATATATACATGAATTCATGAGCATTTTTACTTTAAAAATGCCCTCTGGTTAAAGCCACTGTGTATCTAACACTAATATGGAATAATTGATTGCTAGATTAGTTCCTGAGAACATATTCTAGTTGGCTGCACTGTCATCCACTTTATTAATCCTTATTAATTGCTGAACTTCATACTCTACTTTGATTGATTTTTTTTCTTTCTAGAACTAATTTTCTCTTGCATAGCACACAAATTAGATTGACCGAGAGTCACCCTCTCAGAGTGTTTAGGAAGGGTAGAGGACAGTTTTTACTGTCAACTGTGCCCATGCGAGTTGCATGGAACGGCTGCAGTAGTTCGTCATTTTATAGTGCTTCACTTAAATGCATGGCGTCTATTAATAAGGACATGAAATAGCCACAGTTAAATGTCACTTTCATAAATGTGTTCATAAATAAGGGGGTGCCATAAAATGCTGTGCAGAAACCACACACACACACACACACACACACACACACACACGTCATATTTAAGTAATCTACTCCTTCTCGGGATTTGTTGCTAAACACGGTGTTCTCCTCCTCAGGCAAGAGAGCGCTACCAGCAGGGAAACGGTGGAGTAACGGAGAGGACCCGCCTCCTGTCTGAGGTACACACCAGCAGGATGCACTGCTTACCTGTCA